AAAAAGGAATTATTTATATTGTTTAATCTTGTCTATGAAGGCACATCCTGACTTGTTGGAACCCCTAGTTGGAGAGCCTGTTTGTGATTTTCTAAAAAATTAAACGTACTTTTTGGCAGCTGTTGTGAGGGAGTATAGAGAAGAGGTATGACTCTGAGGTGCATAATTCCTCATGTGGGGCATGCAGGGGGGTTGGATATGCCATAGAATAAGCATGGTTATAATACATTGAACCTAGAGTCTCCAGAGATGGAAGCACCACTGTTAACATTCTGATCTGAACTGTAAGGATTGAGTACCCTAAAGGGATATTATATAACCTTAATTTACAAATACTGATTGTTCCTTATGTCCTCTATGCAGATGGAAATAGGCATCCTTTATACCTAGATAAGAAAGCTCCTTATACAATCTTTAAGGAAATTACATGCCAAATTATAGACCTTTTCATTTCTCATATGTTAGTTTGGTCACACTATGGTATAAGTACAGTTGAGAATCTGTTTCTCTTCTGTCCTCATAACATGTAAACAGTTGGGAAAAGGTGACAGAGTATATTTTAGAAAGTTTTTACCAGTTTGAAAGTCAGGAGGATTTTAATGAAAATGATTTATTTTTCTTTTCTTACTTTTCAGGACCTGTAGATGAATACATGTTGCCATTTGAGGAGGAAATTGGCCAGCATCCATCTCTTGAAGACATGCAGGAAGTTGTTGTGCATAAAAAAAAGAGGCCTGTTTTAAGAGATTATTGGCAGAAACATGCTGTAAGTTATCCAGTTAGCTTTTCATTTGAAATTCCAATAAAACACTTTTCAGAGGAATTATTTATCTCTGCACATTTCTCTTTCTTCAAGTATTTTCTGGGAGGTGATCTTCACACAGGATATTCTAGAGTTCTGGATGCAGAATTAGGGCTATGTCTGTATACCCCTGAAGGTGATTGTAAACTTATAGAGCTTTAGAGGGCTTTTGTCTCAATGGTCCTGCGCAGAAGAGTGTGTCATCTAGTTTCCCAGGGAAAAGGCATGCCAGACTCGGAACCTGTGGATAGTTGGGTAACTTTGCTGATGACCACTTCCAATATGATAACATTTTAGAAAGTGTATGAAGCACCAGGTTTTTTCCTCTCTATGGGAGTTTGTTGTAGCCTTTTGATTTCAGCTTAGAGAAGACTTTCAAGTCTTAAGAGTGCTTTAAAACTAGAGACCAGGCACACAACAGTATTGCCTGGTTATTTTGGTCTAAATACAACTAGAAACATGGCTAAAACCAGGCAGATAAATCTCAAAAGGGGCTTTCTGCTCTTCTGTTTAATTGGAAGATAGAAATGCTGATATTAACTAAGAAAACAATAAAAATGATTAGGTCCCCCTTTATCCTTGATTTTTGAGTCCATTTGAAGGGTTAGCATTGAAATGACCTGGTTTGTGAACAAGGGATAGAGTTTTTTTTTTTTTTTTTTTTTGGGAGTTAAAAAAAAAATTCCTGTTGTGATAATCTCATGCTTAAAAAGAAAAAAAATAGTTCTCTTTATGCTTTTCTTCATGATTCTGCACATGGTATTCAATAAAAGTGAATGTTGACAGAAACTTCTTTGACCCAGAAAACTAGCCATTTCTTCATGAAATTTTTATTCTATTTCCTAATAGAAAACAAAAATTGCTGTGGCGTTTGAGTATGTTTTTCTCCTTTTAGGGAATGGCAATGCTCTGTGAAACCATTGAAGAATGTTGGGATCATGACGCAGAAGCCAGGTTATCAGCTGGATGTGTAGGTGAAAGAATTACCCAGATGCAGAGACTAACAAATATTATTACCACAGAGGACATTGTAACAGTGGTCACAATGGTGACAAATGTTGACTTTCCTCCCAAAGAATCTAGTCTATGATGGTTGCGCCATCTGTGCACACTAAGAAATGGGACTCTGAACTGGAGCTGCTAAGCTAACGAAACTGCTTACAGTTTATTCTGTGTAAAATGAGTAGGATGTCTCTTGGAAATGTTAAGAAGACCCTTTGTTGAAAAACGTTGCTCTGGGAGACTTATTGCATTGCCGACAGCACAGATGTGAAGGACAAGAGACTAAGAGAAACCTTGCAAACTCTATAAAGAAACTTTTGAAAAAGTGTACATGAAGAATGTAGCCCTCTCCAAATCAAGGATCTTTTGGACCTGGCTAATGGAGTGTTTGAAAACTGACATCAGATTTCTTAATGTCTGTCAGAAGACACTAATTCCTTAAATGAACTACTGCTATTTTTTTTAAATCAAAAACTTTTCATTTCAGATTTTAAAAAGGGTAACTTGTTTTTATTGCATTTGCTGTTGTTGTTTCTATAAATGACTATTGTAATGCCAATATGACACAGCTTGTGAATGTTTAGTGTGCTGCTGTTCTGTGTACATAAAGTCATCAAAGTGGGGTACAGTAAAGAGGCTTCCAAGCATTACTTTAACCTCCCTCAACAAGGTATACCTCAGTTCCACGGTTGCTAAATTATAAAATTGAAAACACTAACAAAATTTGAATAATAAATCAATCCATGTTTTGTAACAAATTCACTGTGTTATTTAAGGGAAAAAAGGTAAGCTATGCTTAAGTGCCAACAGTAAGTGGCCATTCGTAAAGCAGTGTTTTAGCATTTCTTGTGCTGGCTTGTAATGTAGGGAAAAAAAAGTGCTGTTTTTTGAAAAGATGGTGTCATTTCCCCCTTCTTCCCATGTTTTAAAGTCCCATCTTATATCCAGTTCCCAAAATTTGCATACTTACCTAAGTATTTTTTTTAGGTGTGCTGTGTTTGGGGAATATTTGAAAATTTAAAGCATGATATAAAATTTTTTTAAGTGAGCTGTGACACTGGAAAGCTCTTCATTTTGTCTTTTAAAATAGAGTTTTTTCTATTTATATATGTAAAATTGTAGTGTATTTCTTTTCACCAAACAGTGTGTGGGACATTCTTTATCACTGTTTAGGATCACCTCAGGAAGTGTCGTTACCCAGAATTCCTCACTGTCTGCTTTGAGACTTGTAACTTTATCACTATACTTCTGCTTGGTGCCATCTTGTCAGAGTAATATTTGATGTCTGTGATATGTAAAGAATTATCCTAGGATAGAGATATTAAACGTTAAGCAGATTTCAGATGTTACTGCTTTAAAACAAATCAGGGATAACAAATTAAACATATAACTTAAAATATGCAATGACATTTAGAGGTAACCAATGTTGATATAGGTAACATAGCCTAGCCACCGCCCCAAAATTGCTTTTACAACTAACACTGATATTAATTTAGGATAGTTCATGCCTTATCCTTGCTAAGAAAATGGAATTGATGGTAGGCAGGTGCCAAAGTGCTTTTCAAAACCATATTATGTTAGAATACAATTGGATTCTTCCTCAGATTTATACAGGCCAAAGTAAAACATTAATTTCCTGAATTTCCAGATTACCAATCAACAAATAGCCAGTATTATGCCATGTTATTTCTGTCAGGTCATTTTAAAATCCATACATTAATTTTATAAAAGAATTTTTTACATGTCACTGTCAGGAGCTCACTGTGAATGTGTTGTCTTAAAATGGTTATTTAACCACACAGTACACTACATTTTACATATATGTACGTAATCTCTGGGAATAGTAAATTATGTTACTTATAAAAAATACATAGGTCAACAGACTTTAAGCAGGGAGGAAAAGAAGAGTAATAGCGTCTGTGTGCCGCAGACCATTCAGAACTGTCATGCGTGTCCCCATGGTCTCATTGTATTCCTAGCAATTCCATTTTCAATGTTGAGTTCACCTCTATTTCAGAGTACTTGGTCTCTCAGTTTCTTGATCTGGCTTTGCTTCCATTTAAAAACTAATCAAGAAGGGAAAATATTGAGAATGTGCATACAAGAAAATCATTAATTTCCTGAAGATGAATTTCTACCTGTTGTGAACATTCAACTTTCTTTTTAAAAGTTAAAAAAAATCAAAACAAAAATAAACAAGGGATATTATGATGAATGTTTGGCTTATGTGAGTACTAGAGATAAATTTTTTTAAAACCAGTTATTCACCATATAAAATGTTTTCAAGTTAGAAAAAATTTTTAGGAATCCTGGTTATTGTATTTAACTGTAGCTAACCAATTTTAAAACTTGTATTCTTTTGAGAACTATGATTAATAGAAAAACTTTTTTATAAGCAGTAAAATAAGAATGTTCCAGTGACTACCTGTCCTTATACCTAGTCTTGTTAAAACTTTCTTTTGCAGGGTATTTAGTGTTTGGTTTACAGTCAGTGCAGAGTGGGCAAGTTAACAGAAAGTTTGAGCTAGAGATACTGGAAAAAAAGAAAGATCAAAGAATGAGAAAAATGGTGATCCATTTTGGGGCAAACTGAAACCCCCCAAATAACTCTTTCCTCATGTGTATGGTGCTCCTCATGACTCGTCTTGTATTTTGCCTTTCTGATACCCATCAGAACTGCTGCTGCTCTAACTTACACTCTTTACCTTGCCCAGATCTCCACGTAAGGAATGCTTTATGATCAACTTGCCATAGGACTGATGGATTAACCAGTGTTCGGCTTTATTTGAAGTCTATGCCCTGCACAGCTCTTGTATGTATTTTAGATGCTAGAAGTTTTTTTTAGCATGTGATGTGTGATTCTTGTTTGAATTCTAGGTACCTTGTGAATTCCAGAAAAAGAGACTGTGCCTCATGATTGTTAGTCCCATGAACTTGCACTATCTTTCATGGCGATGTTTTGAAAATACAATCAGGAAAAAACCCAACACCTTTGGAATTTAAAATAGAATCATATCATGAAATTTAAAAAGAATCTCTTTGGTCGCGTTTCCTCACCTCTAAGTAACAGCTACATTTAAGTAAAATGCAGGTGGTAGGGAAAAAAACCATGGCCAGATGGTGGTTTAGTGGAATAAACTGATTATTGTTTTTTTTTTTTTTTTTTTTTTAAAGAAAGAAGCGTCATCACAGATACTTTCCAATTTCTCTTTTTTACTTTTTTGAAAGATTACTTTTTAGGAACATTTGGTATGATATGCATAAAATTATTTATCAATTTGTGGGCAAAATGATACAAGTAGCATCTTGATTGAACATCATTTACCTCAGATATTCAACCAGCAGTACGTTTTTTATGCAGTCTCAACCCATATCCCATTTGTTACCTCTCAGAATATTGGTAAGCAGTTATTTTCGCTTTACTCTGTATTTCTTGTGTTTTGGGCACAGGTTATTGTACTACTGTCAAATCGTACTTGCTATTTTTTCTGCAAGTATTTAACAGAAAGCTTAAAATCCCCATAAAACCCCACCTTGGATAAGTGATTGTTAAATATTGTACAAATAAAATGTATGCTATCCCCATTCCATCCCCAAGTTAAATAAAAAAAAATGAACATGGTATGATTTGCATATGCAGTTTTTCTTTAGCTATGTGTTCTTAAAGAGGGGAGTGGTAGCTTTGTAACTTACAGTGAGGCTTACACCTTGACAACTGCCAAGAATGAGGATAGTGGTGAGTGAAGGGAGATTTGTTAATTATGGTATTTCCCTCTATTATCGTCTAAACAGATTATATTCCCACTCAAGTATGTGTGTTGGTCCTGCCAGTATTAGGAAGCAGAGGCTTGTTGGCATTGTGTCACACAGCACACACCAATGAATTCTCAGATTTTCTAGGGTAAAGGTGAAGGACGGGGCAGCACTTAGATTATGGTGGTTTGAAAGAAACAGAATTGCTTTCTAAACCAGATGAGGCCGAGAATGCGAACCATGGTGAAATATGCATGGAAACTCTACAGAAAATACTGAAGTGTTTCTTACAGTGTTTTCTGCAAAACAGTGATTCGTTAGGACATTAATAGGTATTATGTTTTCAACATGTACAGCATTATGATACAGTAAGTAAGTTTGGACCAAACAGGCATTCATTCCCCAGAGTCTTTCACGTGCACGAGAATCAGTCATTTTAACAAGAATTCTGTTTCTGGTAGGCCACTTGGAGGGAACACAGATGTAAAAAACACACTGAAATATTCCTCCTTCACCTGCTTGTCAGTCTGAGGTAGTCAGATTAAAAAGCAGTTTGTGCTTTTTTGGTTCTATTTTTCCTCCTCTAGTAAATGAAGAAAGTATCTTGAAGCTATATGTGTAAGTTTACATTATTCTTGAACCGCTTTTTAAACTAGGGTTTTTCAGACTTGTTTTTATTGATGACAGTTCAAGCAATTTAAGAGATGAAGTTAGCTCAAAACTCTTGCAAATAGACTTTAGCTTTTTTGTATGAGAGAATATGGAAAGGCCAACAATCAACACTGCTCCTCCCCACAAAAATGCTTTGGGAATATAATACGCATATGCTTCATTTGTGTAACTTTTCCTAATGTATTTTTTGAATTTGCTTTTAACTGTTTCATGTTTACCTCAATTGGTACTTAAAATCTGTATACTTGGTTATTGATAGATCTTCTGTAGCTCTTACGTAGCCAATGAGACAGATGAGGGCTGTCAGCTTTTAAGTGACATCTTAAGCTAATAAGAAATTGCAATCCTCAAGTCATTGAGGCTGTTACCCTTTAAGACAAATAATACTTTCCTCAAATAGTTTAGAAAATTTTTAAAAGGGTCAGTTAGAGCGTAAGTGTAAAATTCTTGCTTCTAGTATATAATAGTGATGTTACCATGTTAAGTATTTTGGTGAAATATCCCCTAAAAATGTGTAGACTATGGCACAGAATCAGTATGCAAGCCTTAGCCTGAATGAGACTGCTGAAAAGTAAATGACAGGGATCTGAATACTTAGAAGGTTTGACTTTTTGCAGGGAAGGAAAGGCTATGTATGCAAAAGAATATGTTGTAACTACTGAAGAGCTACTTTTATGCACAGAAATTTTTTATTCCACTTTGTATCCAAGATTTCATTAAAACATTGTGCCTTAGAGCATACTTTAAAAACTATTTGGTAAGGAATCCACTGTCGAACTTCAGGTTTTAATAGCACTGCCTTTGGTGTTAAACTGAGTTGAATTCCAAGCCTGCTGGCTATTCCCAGCATTGCCACTGCTTTGTTAGTTTTCTAATCTGTAAATAACAGTACCTACATCTCACAGGGCCTCTAACAGTTAAATGGATTGTAAGCTGTACAAGCATAGGGACAGTCTGTCTTTTGTAAACCTCCCATGCACACAGTAGGCAATCAAATATTCTTGAACAAATGAAGTCACTTAAGTGCTTATTAAATTTCATTTTAAATATATGCCTCTGTTAATTCATGGATCTTGGAACTTACTTAAAAGACAATGCTTTTACTGACATTTCCACATTCCTCAGGGATTTACTGTTTGATACAGGTTCAGTTAACATTGCCATACATGTCTCATTACTTTTGGGAGTGCTTTTCCAGAAATCTCTGGTACAGTCACGTCACTTCATGATGGGGCTATGTTCTGAGAAATGTGTCTCTGGGTGATTTCATCACTGGATGAACATCACAGAGTGTACTTACACAAACCCTGATGGTATATAGCCTGTTACACACCTAGGCTATACATACAGCCTAGCCTATTACTCTTAGGCTACAATGCTGTACAGAATGTTACTGTAATACTGTAGGCAACTGTAACACACTGGTAAACATTTGTATATTCAAACATAGAAAAGGTACAATAAAAATATGGTACAGTCTTACAAGACCACCCTCATATATACAATGTCACGGACCAAAATGTTATGTGGTGCCATGACTATACTTGTTAAGAAGGCAAATTCCAATCCTTTTGACCTATGGTAAGCTCAACAATCTATAATTTTAGAAAATCCTACAAGGGATTCTGATGTGGATGGTATGAGTACCACATTTTGAGATATCTAGAAGAAAAATCTTCAAACTCCTTGGCCTTTTCCTTCCATGTGAACCATCTTCTGACTAAGCTGGTTAGTCTCCTGAACTAGAAAACCTGAGTCTGGGATAGAATCCAAAATTTGCTTGTGGATAGAAAAAAACCCTGCAGCAAACCTACTGTACCAAAGGTTACTTATACTTCAGTTGTTACGATTGTTTTTTTACTCCTTTGGTTTAAGGTTTGTAAAGACATCTAGCTGTTAGGTTGAAGTGAGCTCTTCAAATAGACCATTATATATATAAGTGTTAAAAAAGCACATGGTCTAGTCCCTAAAACAGTCATATTTTATTCTTCTGAACTGCTACTTACAAAGTAATCTCAATTACTGAAATTATAAATCATGTAACTGTTCATGATTAAAAGGCAAGACACAGCCAAGACAGTAGACATGCAAGTCTCACATAAATACAAAAATATTTATAGAATGTTTAGTATTATCATGTTAAAGGACAATAGTTTTTCGTTCTCTACAGAAGTATGAATGAAATGCCAAAGTTGAAGTCACTGGTTATATTCATAACCAGCTCAGTGAGGATGTTGCCCACTGCCTCACATCTGTAGGACAGTTGGGATATTTCTGCAGAGCATTCATAATTTGAGTATTATCCAAAAGCAGTTTCATCAGCTGGTACTCTCTCTGTGAATTTCCTGAAGTTCTTTCCATGGGCTTTATTAATTCTAATTGTTGCAAGTGTTCAAAAGCCTGAAAGATGAAAGAAATAGTTTAGGTTGAATAGGAGAGGAGAGTAACAACTCTCCTGGTCTCTCCCAGAGAACAGTTAGTGTTTTGGTCAGCTGCAGAACAGAGTACTGGGAAACAAACTAACAACTATCAACAGGACTAAAAAAACTCTCACAACCCCATAAAAAACTCTATTATCAGGTAAAACAGTGTCAATGCACACTTACTTGTCCATATATTGTTGAATGTAAACATGGCAAACTTTAATTCAATATATACAATAACGGTTTTCTTCCTGGCCTCATTCTCTATCATAGTTCCTCCTAGTACTTTAATTAATAAAGTGTTTCCAGTTGTCTGTAAAAACCTAAGAATCAGATAAGACTTTCTGATCGATTACCTAAGCTACTCAGATTTGCATTTATATTTTGTCTGTCTCTACCTTTGCTTTGCTATGTGAAAAGTTAACAACTGTAACAAAGAGGGAGGCAGAAAAAGACCCTGGAGTCAACTAGGCATATTCAGCTGATCCTGTAAGTAAAGGATTCAACAGGGTGGTATGGACATGGAGAGGGGACAGGCTCCTGTTTCCTCTAAGAAGTCAGACTGAGACTGTCACAACATTCTTCCATTTTCCCCATCTTAATAGGGCTCTTTCCTGTCTGCTTCCTCTTATCCTTAATATTCATGTATTGTATCTTTTCTGACCTTCAGTGTTGTGTTAGGTACGTTATTAGGGTATGAAAAAAACGGAAACCATTAAATCATGATATACTAACCATTAAATAACGATACACTGAAATAGATTCCTGAGGATTCTATTACATTCTTACAACTCACTGTAAAAAAACATCACTGGAGCATATTCTCTATGTATCACATAAATTCTTCTGATAGAGAAACAGCTCAGATACCTTCATATCTGCAAATGAGAAAATACTGGAGGCTGCAGGTATTAGAGCTGAATAGAACTGTGCAGATTTAAAACATTTCTAAATAGCAAAATACTTCATTATTGAAAATTCAGAAATGAGCAGCTACAAATTATTGAGAATTTAAATGCAGGCCGGGCACAGTGGCTCAAGGCTGTAATCCCAGCACTTTAGGAGGCCGAGGTGGGCAGATCACAAAGTCAGGAGTTAGAGACCAGCCTGACCAACATGGTGAAACCCTGTCTCTACTAAGAATACAAAAATTAGCTGGGTATGGTGGTGCACGCCTGTAATCCCAGCTATTCAGGAAGCCGAGGCAGGAGAATCGCTTAACTCGGGAGGCAGAGGTTGCAGTGAGCCAAGATTGCACCCACCACTGTACTCCAGCCTGGGTAACAGAAGGAGACTCCATCTCAAAAAACAAAAAAACTCAAAAAATTTAAATACTTGGGTAACCTTTCCATTTTCACAACTCTCACAAAGTAAGACTATTAGGGGAAAAAAACCATCCAGTATTGTAAAATACTTTTCCTGTTTCTTTGAAGAAATGGCAGTGCTCTGTACTTACTTTTGTTGCTACAGGAAATGAAATTCTGATTACTAGGGCCTACAAGGGATGCCAGTGGACTTGGGGATCCACTGTTTTAAAAAAGTTTCATTCCTTAAAATCCTCAAGAGCTGCACTGTCCACACTAGGCTACTCAGCATTTCAATGGTTGACTCAATTTTTATTTAAACTTAAAAATGGATATTTAATTCTATTAAAAAATTCTGAGCATGTTTAGAACAATTTCAAAATGTAAATTTACTTTCTCAGCTACAAATTTTATGGAATCTAAACAGCAAGAATTTCCAGTGAATATTTAGGCCACTGAGATGTGCTTTGTAAGTATAAATGTACACCAAATGTTAAAGACTTAATTCAAAAGAATGTAAAATACTTTGTTTTTCTATGATTATAGAATGACACATTTTTGATATGTTGAATTAAATATAATATATAATTAAAATTACACCTTTTTTCTTACAGGTACTAGAAAATCTAAAACTACATTACATGGCTCACATTATCTTTGTAGTGGACAATGGTAATCTACATGAAGTCCTGAAGTTGTAAAACTCATGACTCAGCCCTCAAATAACACTTTGTCTGTATCCCCTCACAGGCCAGTGAGATTTTGTCTTTTAAGTTTCTTAATGGCTCTTATTTTCATTTTTTTTCTTTTACTGCTGCGATTATAAAAGCCAATCAATCCTTGGGTTGGAAAGGGAAAGGTTGTATCACACACTATACTGAAGTTGTTTTCAGGATGCAAGTGCTATGAAGAGACAGCAGAGGGCAGTATACCTCCACAAACTAAAACAACTGGTCACTTCCTCAGATTTTTTCAAAATATTTCATTTTTAGATAATTGTTTTAAAAAAATCTCTATAATACTTAATATTTAAAAATGAAAGTGCAATTTTAATACATAATCAAATTGGATGTAAAAAATATACTTGTCTGTAGAAAAATAGCAAACTAAATCTTACCTTCATGACAACAGGTTTTTCAAAATTATAAACAGAATGTGCTTTCCTTTGAACAAACTTCTGAAACTCTGGGTAGAAAGCAATGACAACATTATACCTTCAAATAAGCAGTGGGGAAGAGTCAGAAAAAAGCTACTTAAGTCTCATCTCACCATTATAGACCATTTGAAAATTAAATGGCTCTTCCTCATAGATGTCATTTAAATGTTTCATTGCTATTATAAGACAGATTTCCAAGACTGATAGACCTATAGTAAAAGGGAAAAAAACTATCAGTTTAATGACACATAAGACTGAAAAAACTGTTCTCCAAATAGCAAAATACTTCATTATTGAAAATTCAAAAATGAGCAGCTACAAATTATTGAGAATTTAAATATAGTGAAAGATCTATGGTTTTGAGGGGTGAAGAAGGTCAAGATTCTAGATTTCAAATGTGTTCCAATCACTATTATCTATATAAATTTAAGTTACTTCACCTCCCTGTGCTTAGTTTTCCATATCTGCAAAATAAGGATATTTTTAAACTTTTAGAAATGTCACAAAGATTAGCGACAATATTATTAAGCACTCACCATATGGCCCACAGTAAACAAAATAAACTTCAATTTTTATGTGACTTTAAATCACACAGGGCCTTTGGATAGGCTTTATCCAGAGACTTCCTAAACTGGAAATTATATCCAAATATGTGTATTCCTTTTTTCCCCCTGGAGAGGAAAAGGTTCATTACGTTTGCAAAAGGAAATAACGAACCCAAAATGGCTGAAACCCAGCGAATGCTCTTCAGTAGCTCTTGATACAATGATAACATCAGCAACGTAGTCTTACCTGGATTTCCAATGTGGCAAAAAAGGCAGAGTGTCAAATTTTTTTTTTCACTTTAAATGGGAGTGATAGTACCTTCAAAAGGACTAAGTTAAAGGCTATATGGATAGAAAAGTATTTTATAAAGTATTATGCCCATGTTTACTGTAATTTTAAAAACATTCCATTATCTAAATTCAAAGTTTTAAAAACCACAATTTAAAAAATAAGGCTGGGCTCTTACCATGTACAATATTTGCTTTTGAGTCCATGCTACACAGTTGACTTGCTTCCATTAGATCTATGGCAGTCATAAATGGGTGTGATGCTGTTACTCGATTTAAAGTAAGCATCTAGGGAAATGTGGATCAGAAAAACAATTACGTATTTACATGGGCATTTTGGAGATACTACTGTGCAAAACTTCTGAATTTGTATAGTCAATTCTTAAGGGAGAGTAAATATTAATGCTGAGGAAGGTATTCTCAAATTCAGTTCTATTAAAATACAGTATTTCAATTTGTATGTCACATAACTGCAGATGTAAAGCATAAAAGAAGTTTTTGCTGCTCTCTCTAGCCCATCCCACTTGCATAACTTGTTTACTTAATGTTCGGAAGAACAATATTTAAAGAGGAGTAGGTCAAGGAGAAGAAACTGAAAATAATTAAGAATACTTACTAATAAAAGCCCCAAACACAAGTCCAAAAGGCAGATCTATGCCTTGTTAACTTTTTCACCACCTAATCATCCAGCCACGTTAGTGTTAATTTACATAGCAGTTAGCTGTTTTATGTTCAGTTATACAAAAGAGAAAAAAAATAGCACATTTATACTCAGGAATAACTCCCCTTGAAAGCAGAGTCTACTTCTCTTGTGCTGCTTCTTTAGTTTCCAAAAATGAACAGAGGTCCTGGAGCAGAGCTGCTACTCAAGTATTTGAAGATTTCCTTTCTTCCTTATTTGTATTTTTCATAAAAGTTAAATTTGGTCATTTAGGGTTAGAAGATTTACCAGATAAAAATGCATGACCTCTCCTTAAATTTCAATTTCAAATAAACAATAGTTTCTTAGTATAAGTATGTGCCATGCAATATTTGGGATATAATTATCCAAGAAACTCTCTCCTCCACCTTAACCAGGGCGCAAGGCGCCAAGTGATTAGCTGGGCAAAGAGTCTGGCAATCCTTGTCCTTCATTCTCCTACTGGTTGGGACCTAGATTGCCAGTGCTCCCTCTCTTTCTCCTTTCCTTTTTCCTTTAATTATGAATTCTGTTTAATTTTTATTTTTTAATTTCATTTTTCCATAAGTTATTGTCATACAGGTGGTATGGTATTTGGTTACATGAGTAAGTTGTTTAGTGGTGATTTGTGAGACTTCGGTGCACGCATCACTCGAGCAGTATACACTGCATCATATTTGTAGTCTTTTATCCCTCGCCCCACTGGAAAACAATGTGGAGATTCCTTAAAGAACTAAAAGTAGAAATACCATTTGATACAGCAATCACACTACAGGGCATCTACTCAGAGGAAAAGAGGTCATTATGTGAAAAAGATACTTGCACACCCATGTTTATAGCAGCACAAGTCACAACTGCAAAATCGTAGAACCAACCCAAATGCCCATCAATCGAGTGGATAAAGAAACTGTGGTATATATATACTGCGGAATACTAAAGAGTCATAAAAAGGAATGAACTAACAGCATTTGCAATGACCTGGATGAAACTGGAGACTATTATTCTAAGTGAAGTAACTCAGGAATGGAAAACCAAACATCATATGTTTTCACTGATATGTGGGAGCTAAGCTATGAGGATGCAAAGGCATAAGAAATTTTTTTTTAACAAAGGCAACAGAGAATAATAAATTAAATATCCATGACTACTTTCCCTGTTTAAGAAAATGATCTTAGAGTCCATCTCCTCCGGACGGGACTCTACTCTTCCCCACATAAAAAAACCAAGCATGTCTATACTATTAGGTTGGTGCAAAAGTAATTGCCATTTTTGGCACTGAAAGTAATGGTAACTTTTCGCCAACCTAATACTGTGTACTTCTACATATACATGTATTATACAACAGAGTAATTTTCAACTTTTATATAAATACACTTTCACAACTCTCTTCACTGTGAGGTTTTATCCATGTTGAGGCAGTATCAATTCTGGTTTATTCATTTTTTTGTTATATTTCTTTGTATATACCCACAATTATTCATTTGCTAATTTCCCATTGACAGACATCTGTCATTTCTTTTTTTTCCCCAATTATAAACAAGACTGCAGTAAACAACCTTGGACACGTCTTCCTGTGCATTAGGTAACTAGAGTTTCTCTAGTATAAGTATGTTTCTCTAGTTAACTAATTTGCTAAATTACTCTCCAAAGCACTTACACATATTTATGTTGGCAGCAGTGATAAATATTAAGTCACAGTCACGATACCATCAAGCATAACCTTTAACCCTGCCACTAGATTGGCAAGAAAAAAAGTTTAATTGTAGTATTTCTCTGGTTACTGGAGAGGCCGAAAATCTGTAATCTATAATGAGCTTCCACAGGAAGACAATGACAACCAATAATGGGATGAGCTAAGAATATGAGTAAGCAGCCCTCAAAGTAGAATCCCATATGACAAAAAACAAGCCATTATTTAATTAATTACCATGAATTAAAAATGGAAAAATGGCAGAACAATGGTCATTACTATTGACAATATGGAGGCAGAGATATTTTCCGGATGGAGATACATATATATACACACATACCTCCTCTAAAAATTACTCGTCCTCAAATTCCTTCATGATAAAGACAGTTGTTGCTGAAAATGGCAGTATGCTTTTGACAATAGAGGGAAAGTAAATAGGGATAAAAAGACTTAACTTTCCTCAGCAAAAACAGCAATGAGGAAAGAAAACTTGTATGTAAACATGGGTGAACCATACAGCCAAGTAGGACACAAACTTGAAGCCAGAGAGCTTTGAATTAAGTCCTGGCTTTGTTATCTACTAGTAATGTGACCTTGGGCAAGTTATTAAGCTTTAAGGAGCCTGAATTTCTTTAGGGGTAAGAATAAAAAATAAGATTATTCCAATGGTCAGACATAATATAGGTACTACTAGTATCTACAATACTTGGCTCATATGCTGGTCAATAAATGGTAGCTACTATCATTATTATTCTATCATTATTATTAAAAATGACTTTTCTGTGAAACCAAAACTATCTTCTCTTTCAAAGGTATCTGCCATAATTTTCTAGAAATATTAGACTAAAACCAAATTACTCTTAGTGAAGAAAGTTAATTTTCAGAACAATTAAGTACTTCTTGTTTGATACTGGTATTATGTAAGCTTAAGACATAATTACTTGGCAAAACATCATAACCAAGTAGGATTTATTCCAGGTATATAAGGCTGGTTCAACACTCAAAAAATAATGTAATCAAATATATCAACAGGTTAAAGAGAAATATGATCATGTGAAACAAGAACAAGCACTTGACAAAATCCAACACCCATGTATAATAAACTCTCAGCAAATTACAAACAGATGAGGATTACCTCAACCTGATAATGAACATGTATTAAAAACCTATAGCTAACATCATACTTAATGGTAAAAGTTTGAATCCTTTCTTCCTAAGACTGGGAACAAGAAAGGATGTCCTCTCTCACTGTTCTAATTCAGCATAACACTGGAAATTCTAGTCATTGCAAAAAAGCAAGGAAAGCAATAAAAGGCATACAGATTGGAAAGAAAAAAAAAGTCACTATTTGTGAAAAATGTAATGGTCTACATCAAAAGTCCCAAGGAATCTATTAAAAAACCTCCTAGAATAAGTGAGTTCAGCATAGACTATAAGATCAACACACAAAAGTCAATCACATTTCTATATATTAAAGTGTATATATGTAATCAATCACATATTCTATATGTAATGAATATGTGGGAAACCAAAACTTCAAGCCACCATTTACAATTGTTCTAACAAATTAAATACTGGTATACACATTAAATAACTACATCATCTGTGTAGTAAGAGCTATAAAATGCTGATGAAAGTAATCAAACAAGAAATCAAATAAAAGGAGATATGAACCCTATTCAGAGATTGGAACACTCAATGTAGTGTTCCAATGCATGTCGATTCTCCCAAAATTTACCTACAGGTTTAATCAATTCCCATAAAAACTTAATTATCTAGTGAAAGACAGAAAATGATAAAAGTAGGCTAGGCACAGTGGCTGATGCCTGTGATGTCAGCACTTAGGGAGGCAGAGGTGGGAGGATGGCTTAAGGACAGGAGTTCGCAACCAGTCTGGGCAACAAAGTGAGACCCCATCACTATCAAAAACAAAAACAAAAACAAAGCAACAAGCAATAAAACAAAACTAATACAAACCAATAGCATGTGTAATGACCGCAGGTTTTTGCTGATATTGAAATGCTTCTGTAGTACTTCTTGCACACTTCTATCTTCTGAGAGATACTAAGAGGGGGGGGAAAAGCCAAAATTGAGGAAAGATGTAGTTTAAAACCCAAATATAATCCTGTGCCTTACTGGTTGGTGTGCCTTATTAATGCTATCTAATATTAATTCATTATTAAATAGATGTTGGTCTTATTTGTAGAACACTAAAACCAAAATAAAGTTTCCAGTCTACTGATTTCCTTATCCTGTTCTTTACATTAATTCAATAAACACTATGATAATACAATCCTTGCTAACCCCAAATTCCTACTTGAATAAAGGAAACTACAGTAATACCAGTGAAATGAACAAAATGCAGCACAAAAACACAAGCACATGAGTTACTGTACCTAGGGAAACAAGGTAAAGCACTACAAATAATGCTTAAACTGGATGAGACAAGAGATTTAAAAAAGAAGGAAGAGCATTCCAGTTACAGGGAACAGCATGAGTAGTAGGAAAATCATCACATATTGGCAGAAAATGAGTAGTCACGTACTGGAGTTTCAGTTACTGGCAAAGTGAATGTACAAAAAGACAAAGGCAGAAAAACCTAATTGGAGGTAGCTGTCCAGACAAGAGGTAAGGAGGGTCTGAACTATCTGAGTGGTAATGAAGACAAAAGAGAATTAAGACACTTATAGGAGATATATCTGGTAGAGAATTAACTGGTAGCAGAAGAGAAGGAAGGGTTTGAAAGGTAGAAGATAAAAATCAAAGATAATCTATGGGAAACAAAATGGCCTGTGAAAAGTGAAATGTGCTCAAGAAATGAATCTTGGATTATCAATATTTAAGTAGTAGGTGGGAAAAGAGAAAAACTAAGAAAGTAAGAAAAATACCAAAGACTGGAAGAGAATCTAAGACAGCAGAGATCTAGAAAACAAGGGAAGAAAGTTTTAAGAGAGAAGTGGGGTTCAACAATATGAACTACTTTGTAAAATTAAGATATATTTGAGAAGAGGCTAATGGCTTTAGAAATTCAAAGGTCACCAGGGCCTTTTGAGAAAGCAACATCTAAAGAGGCAAGTGACTGCAGTATATTAGGGTTGAATGGAAGGTGAGGCACATTGGCATTGAAGAAAGGATTAGATGAAAAGAGAGTAAATTCAGAGGTAGCAGAGCCAAGAAAGGCCTGGAAAAGATCGACATAATTTTTCAAAAATTATCTGCATGGAATAAGAATTCTTTTTTCTTAAAAAAACAAACAAAAAAACCCCAGAAAACTAAGCATTTCTGTATTTTCTAGAGCTGAATTACATGTCTTTACTTTGTCCACTCTAAGAAGACCAGATTCAGAAGTAAGTTCTAGTCTACTGGAATGAAATTTTATACTCTCAGGAAATATATTATTAATTATAGTTCCCACTCCCTTGCTATTGTTTCTAGTCTTTGTATTTTAAAGGACTTCTGGTTACTATATATATCTTTTTCTATCACAAACAGGGTAGAATTTCCTTGGAAGTACACAGGGTGAACATAAAAAAAAATAACTTTTGGAAATTTAAAAAAAAAAATTTGTTTAGCTTTTCCACAGTTTTAAAATTGAAATATGGAAGATATGTGGCTAAATATCACAGGCAAACTATAGTCTTTGCTTCTGTAATCTGTAACTTGTAAAAGTTGATGTGGTAAAATCAGAGCACTTAGGAAAACTAAAGAAAATCCACCTGAGACAAAACTGATTTAAGAAATTTTCTCTGCAAGAATCAATTATTTTTAAAACCTGTATTTGCCTCTTTTTGACATGATGCTTCAAAGGTTAATCTTCTATACTCCATCTTCCTACTTTATCTCTTTATTATTAGTGGTTTGACTCCAGTCCCCCCTCTTTCTAAAAGCTATCACCTTCTTGCTTCTATAATTACTTACTCTGCTTTTTAAAATGCCTACCTTATCTACATGAGCCATTTAAACAAAAAAAAAAATTGTCTAACATCGTTTATTATATTTTTAAATCCATCTTGATTCAAACACTATACCCTATTTGAGGATAAGGCTATTATCAACAACCACATGAGCTACAGTACTTTGGTAGATTTCATTTGAGGAGAATAAGGTATGATTCTTTTAAATGTTCTTTTTAAAGGATCTCTCTTATACTGCCATGCTAAGATAGAGTCTACTCTGCTTACTTATTTGACTCATTTGAAGTAGGGCTAAAACAAACCTTCAAATTAGGCAGGATATCAAGGTTTCATCTTATCCTGAAGATATTTTGTGGATGAGATTCCATGTGTGACCTGTTATCTGTATCACTGCTATTGGCTTAATCTTGCCATTAAAAATAACTTCCTGGATAATCAGCACTAAGAGAAAGAATAGCTCCCTTAATGCAGCTACCACCCTACTCCACAAGGCAGGGACTCTGACCATGGTGCTGACAGATTTTTCAAGTGAAGCTCATTTTATTCACATACCAAAGAGAGGCATAAGATAATCAAGATAGGGGAAGAAAATATTAGAACTCAAGAGACACAAACACCAGTGATGCTGCTTCTACTTAATGAAATGGACTATTAAGACTGTCAAAAAGATGACAGGATAGTGCTCACATTCAGGGGATTTAAGGTCTGCAACAAAAGTCCAGAAAGTAGAGTAGTTACACTATTAACATATAGTTACCATTTCCTAAGTCATGCAGAGTTATACTTCTTCACCAGTAACTCCCAGCATCCTCTTTATTTACAGACCCACTTTGAGATGCTCAGAATGCAATACAGTTGGGAAGGACGGTGGATGGAAAATGGCACAATGCAACCTGGACCATGTAGTTAACTTAGGAAGATTAAGTGTGAGCAGGTATGGAAAAAATAAGAGCCCATGTAAAGTACAGAAATTTAAATACTATGAAAGACTACATTTGAATCTCTAAAACAGCCAGAAAAATATACTGGTGGAATAAGACAATCAGTTCAGGAGTTGTAGAAGACGAAAGTCTGTGAAGCACTGAAAAGTAGACCTAAAAGCTGAAGATCCAGAGGTCTGGTCCATACCAGACCCCGGTAAGAGGGGACAATGTGGGAGTACCAACTACAAAGAAAGTGCTCCTATAGATGGAATCCTATAATTAGAAATAGTATCAAAGACACTTGGCTCAGGTAATTGAACTATCCAAGTCTCAGGAATGATTAATTTGAGTGGAAGGGAGGATCCATACCTAATTATATCAAGGCATAGTATCTGAATTTTAAAGATAATGTGAGCTATTTTTACATACAATTATGTATAGTTGTATTAAGAAAAAGAACAAGGAATTATCAGTCATAACAATGGGAAAAAGTAATATAAACATATGTAGGCTTTGAGTCCTTTACGTAAAAACAATATATTTAGCATGTATATAAACTCTGCAATGTTATAGACCAAATAATTACTCCATAGTAGAAGGAAGGAGAATTGATATAGTCTTATGGGAAACTTCCACTGTTTATCATGTATTTTTTTGCACTGATTACATTTTGTTCAATAAACTTTTACGACTTTTTTAAAAAATGAAATGTGTCAAAATTAATAGTGCTTACATGAGCAGACTATATTTTATAATCAAAACAATAATCATTTAAAGAACAAACTAAATGCAAAATGCTTCCAATTTAGTATTAGTATGTAAGAATTCATGGTACAAACACAATCTACTTGAGGTCAGGTGTGGTGGCTCACACCTGTAATCCCAGCACTTTGGGTGGCTGAGGCAGGCAGATGACAAGGTCAGGAGATCGAGACCATTCTGGCTAACGCAGTGAAACCCCGTCTCTACTAAAAATACAAAAAATTAGCTGGGCGTGGTGGCAGGCTCCTGTAGTCCCAGCTACTCAGGAGGCTGAGGCAGGAGAATGGCGTGAACCTGGGAGGCGGAGCTTGCAGTGAGCCAAGATTGCGCCACTGCACCCCAGCCTGGGCAACACAGCAAGACTCCATCTCAAAAAAAAAAAAAAAAAATACAATCTACCACTACTGCTTTAAAATAAAACAATCTTTTTTATAGAGTCACTGAATATAGACTGTGTAATTCTATTCAAAGATCTAATTATCCTTACCAGTATTTTAATATTATCAATCAATTTTTCCCAATTCCTTCAGAGCCAGGGACTCCATATTATTTTCCACTCTCACGAGGCCAATATTTTTTGAGATTCTACCATAAGGGACTTATTCATTAACAATGTTTTTCAATTAGGTTATTAAATACACATACACATGCATACTTCCTCCTTTCTCTTTGCCAACTGAAGCTTCTTGACAGCATAAGATTAAAATGCTAGTGTGTTGAGAATATTTTAAGCACAGGTAAATTTATAGTCTCAAAGGTGTGGCAAATCTTTAAAACAACATATGAACCTGCCTTTGTATCTAAGATTCTCAGGTCTCCAGGGACTGAGAGATGTGATCACCTAATAGATAATATAACCGGAGGTGCCACAGTCTGTGCTGCCTCTTAAGGCCCAACAAAGTAAAAGCTGAAATTGCTAATGAAAACTGGAAGAAAAAAAATCCACACAGAATAGGTATGAATCACTAACATTTATTTATCATTATTTACTATTTATTATTATTGCTAAATATGTAAAATATAAAAGTAAATTATGCAAATTCACTAATAAAATTATCTGAAATATAAACCACATATAGATAAAACTAAAGCCTCATTAAAGTTTACTTCAAACTAGTAACATAAATCCTAAAGCTTAACTGTAATGTTCTTTTGAGATAGAACTTAGCAGATACGACATTTCAACTGTTACAAGAAAATTTTTAAAAAGCATATAATTTGTATTCCTGTAGCTTTATCCCTCAGCAATATTAGAAACTTTGTGTTAATTTACTAATTTCTAAAATTTGTGTTTTAATTGCTTTAAATCATATAGCAAGGAACATTTAGTTTTATTGCCTTTAAGTTACCTGAACATTTTCATTCCACTTCTCAGCAAAAAGCTTGTCTGGAAATTCTGCAGGTAGAGATAACTGTTCTTTAAATATTTTAACATACTGTGGAAAACCAAATGAATTCATTAAGTGTATCTGCCGGTGAGAAAATCTTGACTTCACTCTTTTTTCTAAGAGTTCCAAAATATCCTTAAAAACAAACAGAAATCTCTATAAGCAAGATGAATGTTAAAAAAAAAAAAAAACTGTACCAATATTAGAGATATAAGTAAACTATCACCTATAATTAGTAATGTTTAGTCTATAACACATAATTAAACATTTAAAACATTTTATGCAAACTAAATAATCCCCCTCCAGGCAACTGCTGGCCTGGTGATGTCATGCCTTTTTCCTACCATGTTACTCTCAGCTAATCTGTAACATTCCAAGACCCAATATGATTGTTTAAAAAAACTGACTATATTAAATAGCTATATGTCACAGTAACAACAAGAGTGTCAGTAAGGAATTCTGTACATTCTATGAAGAACTGAGATTAAAAAATTAATAGCATGATAGGTAGCAGAAACCAACTTTAGGAGAGGAAAGTGCCAGAAATGCAACATGGCATTTGTAAGTTATCTTCCGGCTTTTTATTTTTTATTTTTATTTTTTATAGTAATGCTTTTAGACTTTATTTGTATTTGTACTATTTTTCCTTAGGAAGAAATCAGGAATCAAATTTACCGTCAAAGAACACTAAAAACCAAAGGATAACTAATATGTACTGCTTGCAAGGACATACGAAGTGTTCTTAAATGAAGAAAATACTTCCACAAAACTGATAGGCATTCAAACTATCCAAGATATCAAAAGCACAATAGGTAAGTTATCTTCCTAAGTCACATAAATTGCAGGAACTGTCATTCCTAAATCTCTTTTTAATATTGAACTTGAGGAATTTTTCAAAATATATTATAGTACACAGTATAATGTATATAATATATATAATTTATATATGTATATATACATCTACACATATAGTATAGTATAATATATATTATTTAAGTTACACTCCAAGGTATACAACCAAGACAAATGAAACCAGGTAACTACAAAAAAAGTGTATGTGAATGTTTGCAGCAGTACTATTTTTAATAGCTTCAGAAATGTAAACAACCCAAATGTCCATCAACTGATGAATGGATAAACAAAGTGTGGTATATCTATACAACAGAATATTATTTGGCAATAGAAAGGAATAAAGGGCTGATATATGCTGTAACACAGATCAACCCTGAAAACATGTTAAAGAAGCCAGTCACACAAAACTATACGTTGTATGATTCAAAAATTACTATACAGTCAGAAAGTGGATTAGTAGATTAGTGGTTGCATAGGGCTGTGGAGGGAACAGGGGATTTGGGGTGACTGCTAAAAGGTATGTGGCTCTTAAATTGTGGTGATAAATGCACAACTCTATAAATAAAAACCCTGTTAACTGTATAATTTAAATGAGTGAACTGTATGGTATAAATTACATCTCAATAAAGCTGTTTTAAAAAGCCCCCACCCCCAAATATGAACATGATGTCACTGTTGTTTACATTTCTTAAGCTATTAAAAATAATACCGCTACAAACATTCACATACACTTTTTTTGTAGTTACCTGGTTTCATTTGTCTTGGTTGTATACCTTGGGAGTATAACTTAAATAATACATATTATTTAAGGAATTACAGCTAATATAACAATTATATTAGGGAAATATATTTTTAGAGAGCCCTTATTTCCTAAAAATACATTCTAAAACACTTACTGATAAAATGATATAATGCCTAGTTTTTGCCTCAGAATAATACAGGAATTAAGGGAGATGTTGAGGATAAATAAAACTAGTCTGTAGTAATTGAATCTTGGCAAGGAGTGGAGAAGGGAATTCAGGGCTTATTATTTATTCTTTCCTATGTATATTGTTAAAATGTTATAGAATAAAGTTTTTTAAAAGGGGAGTAGTTTAAGCCCAGAACTATACATTTCCACATCTAGCAAGATGACTCTCATAATACCTAGGTCAAGAAATCATGATATAGAGGAAAGAATTCAAGTGATCAAAATGGGATCATGGTTAGTCTGGGAAGGAGGACAAGAAAGACTAACAGCCTGAGGTAGGAGGCGCGAGGGTGAATAAAAAATTTTGAATGTTTTTATGAGGTCAAAGAAAAGTATAGTGCCAGCATGAGAATTAAAAGAGAAGAAAGGTTATATTCAGAGATTCAGATATTGCACATTTATCTTCTATTAAGAAAGAGTTCTAGGTCACCCATATAGGTAGACAGTAGAAGTAATATCAATACAAGCAACAATTAAGACCCTAAATTTGGGAATGAAAAGAGATGGAAGTAAATAATGTCTTTGTAGTAGGCAGTAATGACAGAAGTTGGCAATGTGGGCATAAAGGAACTAGTAAAAACAAAACAAAACCAAAAAACAAAAATGGAATTACTCCCAATGGGGAAGAAGATGCTTGCTGGCAAAGTCACTACTCCCTCTATATATCTCTCCCTATAAACATGGATACACAGATAAAATTATACTTGAGGCCAGGCGCAGTGGCTCACACCTGTAATCCCAGCACTTTGGGAGGCCGAGGGGGGCGGATCACAAGGTCAGGAGTTTTGAGAGCAGCCTGGACAACATGGTGAAACCCCGTCCCTACCAAAACTACAAAAATTAGCCAGGCATGGTGGTGTGTGGCTGTAATCCCAGCTAGTCGGGAGGCTAAGGCAGGAGAATTGCTTGAACCCAGAAGGTGGAGGTTGCAGTGAGCTGAGATCACGCCATTGCACTCCAGCCTTGGCGACAGAGCAAGACTCCATCTCAAAAAAAAAAAAAAAAAAGAAAGAAAGAAAGAAAGAAAAAAGATTACACTTGAAAGAACTACACAGTTGGAGAATTATATATATACACAATAAAAAAGGAACATCTGATAACACTGCTAAGAAGTTACTGACATTTTATTTGGTTCTTCATTGGGTCAACAACACTTGCCACAGCCGCTTCCACCCAAAGGAAGTTTTTTTTTTTTTTTTTTTTTTTTTTGGCAAGAAGGAGGGTGCTTCTTTGATCCTTGTCATAGCCTGCTGCTTTTGGCAAGGAGGAATAAAGATATGTGGAGCACCAGCCAGTGATGTATGAGGGGAGTTTATACTAAAGCCATACATCATAAGCTCTAGAGCACAGGGAAAGAGGGGCAAATGACAGTGACTCTATAGAGAAACAGCACTGGAAGGAGGACTGTTAAAATATGAATTAGTAAAAAGTTTCACTTTTCTGAAAAGGAAAAAGGGCTGTACGAAAGGAGATGTGAATGTATACATGTGCCTGAATATGTCTGTGGAGAATGGAGGGGGAAGAGGATGGCAAGCAAGCTATGGAGGCACGGCAGTTATAGCATGAGAAAAGAGATAACTGTGCTATGGTATGGACGTGGTTTGTCCCCACCAAATCTCATGTTGAAATTTAATTGCCAGTGCAACAGTGGGAGGTCACTGGAGTGGACCCTCATGAATAGATTTAATGCCCTCTTACTGGCCTGAGTTCTTGTTCTCATGGGGATAGATTAGTTCTTGAGACAGCGAGTTGTTATAAATTGAGGTTCCAACTACCATCTGGTTCGTTTTTGCACATATCTGCTCCCCATTTGACCTTCCACCATGTCATGCAGCATGAAAGCCCTTGCAACAAATCCAGTGCCATGCCCTTGAATTTCTCAGCCTGCACAGCTGTGAGATAAATAAACCTCTTTTCTTTAAAAATTACCCGTCTCAGGTATTATGTTATAGCAACACAAAATGGGCCAAGGCACTCTTCAATGCCAGTTTATCTGAATTCAGTAAGGAAGTTCATGCTACGAGTGTGTAAGAAGGTAAACACAAAAAGGCCTGTATAGCTGTCCAAAGGTACACATGGTTCAATACGTACAGAGCCTTCACAAAGCAAAGTGATAGTGATATTGAGACTATAGTTAAAATCATTCTAAAATATCCCATGGAATGAAAAAGCCACTATCTACTGTCAGTGCTTGGTAGAATCTTTTCCATTTCTGGAGACGTGTACTTTGAAAGTTGGAATAGTATTATTTAGAGTTGATTTCAATCCTGTTCAAAATATGGAAAAAAAATCTTACAACAAAAACTATTACCAAGTTTTCTCAAATACTGGTGGGATTACTTAACTGCCTCATTACTTGATAATGTAGAAATTATATTTATTAGCATAATCTGATTTCACACTTTTTTCTTCAGTGATTTCACTGGGGGGAGGGAGGTATTCATTAATGGGCTAAGGTAACCATTAACCTGTTTTCCTAAATTTGAATTGAAAAGCAGGATAAATACACCAGGCACTGCTGAAACAAAATTTTTAAAATGCCTAATATTATATACCTAAATAAGTGAAAAAAGACTAGTAGTGTCAGCAATTAAGCTTGAATTTTAAAATATTATAATCAACTTTTTTAATGAAGAAAAAGACTTACCAATCTACATGTAAGGCCAATAACTGCTATTGGGGTCTGTGCAGACTGAGAAATGTCAAAAAGATTATAGAGAAGTGTTTGGTTTTTATGATGAGCAAAAAGATCAAATTCATCTAATATGAAGATCACTGGGCAACTGCTAGTTCGGTCACCTAAGATAAAATAAGAGCATTACATTATCAAGAAATTATATCCACCTTTCCTAAATTTCCAAACTATTTACTATATTTCAGTTTTTAAAACTCAATTCTACAAACATACTGATAGCCTACTTTGGGTAGGGGATTTACTGATGCATATATATTCATTCAACAGAAAAAAAATATTCAAAGGACAAAGACAGCCCCGACTGCTCTCAAGAAGTTCAGTCTAGGCTGGGCGTGGTGGCTCACGCCTGTAATCCTAGCACTTTGGGAGGCCGAGGCGGGTGGATCACCTGAGGTTGGGAGTTCGAGACCAGCCTGACCAACATGGAGAAATCCCATCTCTACTAAAAACACAAAATTAGCTGGGTGTGGTGGTGCATGCCTGTAATCCCAGCTACTTGGCAGGCTGAGGTAGGAGAATTGCTTGAATCCGGGAGGCAGAGGTTGTGGTGAGCCAAGATCGTGCCACTGCACTCCAGCCTCGGCAACGAGAGTGAAACTCCATCTCAAAAAAATGGTTCAGTCTAGGCCGGGCATGGTGGCTCATGCCTGTAATCCCAGAACTTTGGGAGGCTGAGGTGGGTGGATCACCTAAGGTCATGGGTTTGTGACTAGCCTGGCCAACATAGTAAAACCCCATTTCTGCTAAAAAAAAAAAAAAAAAAAAAAATTGCTACTTGGGAGGCTGAGGTAGGAGAATCTCTTGAACTGGGGAGGCAGAGGTTGCAGTGAGTCAAGATCACACCATTGCATTCTAGCCTGGGCAACAAGAGTGAAACTCCGTCTCCAAAAAATAAAAAGTTCAGTCTAGTTCCTAGACTCTAGTAGAGTTTGTTGTTGAGAAATGTCAAAAATCATTTAAATTACTAAAGACTATTATTTTTATAATTATGTGAACATAATTCTTATTTAATGATTATAAAATTGAGAAAGAGTTTTCTATATCTGCACAGAATGAAAACACTTTAGGATTAAAATATAAGAGGAGTTATTAATTAATGAACAAAACTAATGCTTTAAAAGAGAGTTGTTTAGTAGAAATACAAGGTACATTTCTTGTAGAAATACTTGTTATAAACAAACTTTTAGATTATAAAGTTCAACTAAAGCCATTTAAACTCCCTTTATGCACAACTTTTAGCATTTCAACTACAATGCTTTTCATTGGGAAAGTTCCACATCACCCTCTGGTTACATTTTTCTCACTTCAATGATGGAAACAACTTTAGTAAAAGAATCCCTTTTACCTTAGGCTTAATGCCTTTACATTTGTGTTAAAAGGTAAAACAAATATCTGATAAAAGAAAGACTTATTTCACACAAATAAATACAGTAGCCTAAATGATTTAATACTGGTATAAAACTAAAGGGATTACTCAAAAGTCTAGAAAGAGACCTATGTACTAATACAGAATTTTAGTATTTGATAAAACATTGCATTATACATCAGTGGGGAAAATCAGTCTATTCAAAGTTAGATCCCTACTTTACAGGTAAAATCAGAATAAATTCCAAACAAATTATAAATTATAAATATATATATTAAATAAAAAGATCAATGTTTTTATAATCTGAAGGAGAGAAAAAACTTTCTAGATAAACTTAACTACGTGGAAAACGTAAAACTTTAGATCATCAGAAAAGTCCAAACCAAACTTAAGGGAAGAAAAAAATAAAACACAAAAATTCCGATAAATAAATATAAGATAAACATTACCACAATAGGTCAAAGACCCAACAGGAAATACAGTCGTGTGTCCCTTAATGACAGAGATACGTTCTGAGAAATGTATTGTTTGGTGATTGCATCATTGTACAAGCATCCTAAGAGTGTACTTAAACAAGCCTAACTGGTGTAGCCTACTAGACACCTAGGCTGTATGGCATAGCCTATCACTCCTAGGTTATGAACCTATGAGCATGTGATAGTGTAGGCAACTGTAACACAATGGAAAGTATTTGTGTATCTAAACATATCTAAACACAGGAAATGTACAGTAAAAATATGGTTTTATAATCTAATAGGACCACTGTCACATATGTGGTCTATCATTGAATTAAAGGTTGTTATGTGGCACATGACTGTACATAAACCAGGAAATTTCAAAGGTCAATAAAAATATGAAATGACAAGCATCACCACTAACAGAATTATGCAAATTAAACAAAGAACAAAATTATTCAAATTAAACTAAGAGATGAAAGTTTTTCTATTATATGGGCAAACATAAAAATAATTGTTTTTGAGGTTGTGAAGAAAAAGGTATTATCAAATATTTTTACAAAGTAAACCTTTAGTTTTTAAATGTCTTTTAAAGACGGTGCCTTTCAACCCAGAATTCTACCCACAGAAATTCCAGGAAATATCTGGATGATCATCTAAGTATCTCTTCTTAATTATAAAAAATTAGAAACAAAAGTCCATAATTGGTGATTAATAAATAGCACCTTATAAAACAAGATGAGAATCATAAAAATGATGCAGATCAAAATTTGCTGATTACAAAATGATAGGTAAAATTTTATTGTAAAAAGTTACATTTATCTCCATCAATAATATACTGATATAAACATCATCAGTATATACAGTATATTATACTGTATATATTATTGAATAAAGAAACCAAATGCTAATTGAGATAATCACTGTTATAGTGGTGGGAATACAGTGATCATTCTTTTTAATGTTTCTGTATTTTGAGAGTTTTTCTTTTGGCAAAAGCTTGTATTACCTTTATAATCAAGGAAAAAATAAAAGTTAAAACATATCTTCTGAAATGGCTGAATATGTTAATATTTACCTTTTTTTAAAGCTTCCAGAAGAAATGAAAGGTTTTCAGCAAAGCTTCCCTGAACAACAAAATGAGATAAAATGATTAAAAGTTTAGTGAAATAAAGAATAAAAGAGGGCTGATTCTCAGATTTTATATAAACACTGTATATCTTCTAGTTATTAGAGTCACTGCCCAGACTTTGCTGAGAGTCTCTATACTTCCTATCTAAAACTTAAATACTTAAGCACAGATGGCACAACACTGAAAATGGCAATTACAGTGTCATGCTTGAAATTTTATTTCAAGCAATTATTTCAATTACAATGTCATGTTAGAAATGTGAAGGTAGTTTTGTAGAGTTGCCATATTCTAAATATTGTTTCAGACCTAGAAATGGATTCTATTTTGTGTCTTCAAACACAGTGGGGTCTTGCAAGTCTCAAATTAATTTGTACTGGTAAAGAAATAACCATGAATTTAAATGAGATACAAAAACAAAAGGCTTTTTTGAAACATTAGATACTATAACAGTGTTTGTCTATTCAAGAGTATACTGAAGAAGTTTTTTATTTTTATTTATTTTTTTTGAGACAGAGTCTCGCTCTGTCGCCTAGGCTGGAGTGCAGTGGTGCGATCTCCGCTCGCTGCAAGCTCCGCCTCCCAGGTTCACGCCATTCTCCTGCCTCAGCCTCCCGAGTAGCTAGGACTACAGGCACCCGCCACCATGCCCGGCTAATTTTTTGTATTTTTTAGTAGAGACGGGATTTCACCGTGTTAGCCAGGATGGCCTCAGTATCCTGACCTCGTGATCCACCCGCCTCAGCATCCCAAAGTGCTGGGATTACAGGTGTGAGCCACTGCGCCCGGCCAAGAGTATACTGAAGAGTTTATGTATATCATATCATGTTTGGCTATGTTTACTTGTAATATAGCCAAAACGTTTTTGGATACAATTAAATATTCTTGATGAAACTTAACGTAGTAGATGCCTTATCCAGGTGCTTCAGATTGTGGGTAGAAGCCCCATTAAAATATTTTTTTCATTAAAGTTATTAATTTTTATTTCATTCAGAGTTCATAATTAAAAGAAACAGCCAACTTTAAATTTGAGGAGAGATAAAGGAGAAAAGAAACGCACTTATTCGTTCTCCAGTTGAGAGATCTAACATAAAAATAGCATACAGTTTTTTAAACTTTCACATATTGTGATGTTGTTATGCTATTTCCAAGGTAGGCAGACCAAGAGGTGTTATCCATAATTTATCATAATATAACAAATCCTCAAAGAGACAATCTGTTGGGAAATCAGTGGTCAGTTACTCAAAGGTAGTTTGTCTTTCAGGCTTTTTGTTTAAAAGATTATTATATCTGATACTAAATATATACTTCTTTTTGTTTTGTTTTGTTTTTTTTGAGACGGAGTCTCGCTCTGTGGTCGCCCAGGCTGGAGTGCAGTGGCGCGATCTTGGCTCACTGCAAGCTCCGCCGCCTCCCAGGTTCACGCCATTCTCCTACCTCAGCCTCCCTAGAAGCTGTAACTTACAGGCGCCCGCCACCACGCCCGGCTAATTTTTTTGTATTTTTAGTAGAGACGAGGTTTCACCGTGTTCGCCAGGATGGTCTCGATCTCCTGACCTCATGATCCGTCCACCTCAGCCTCCCAAAGTACTGGGATTACAGGTGTGAGCCACCGTGCCCGGCCCTAAATATATACTTCTATAAATATGTATTTCTGCATGTATAATATACATATATATGTCTGCTTATATCAAACCAGAAAAGCTGTGGGTTGCATTAAGTGACTTAGGTTCTTATAATGTCTAGCCTCTGCCATTTTATGACCTTTGGCAACCTAATTATGCTCTCTGAGAAGAAACCAAATGTATATAATGAAATAATTAAACTAATAATTTCTATACCAGTATTTATTCAAGAGTATATTGAAGAATTTATGTATATCATATCCATGTATGGCTATGCTTACTTGGAAAGCCAAAACATTTTTGGATACAACTTAAACTAATAATCTCTATATGTGATGATAATAGCGAAGATTAGAACAGAATGATAAAAAATTGTGTTTATTATTTCACATAAACCAATATGAATATGTAACATTTAAAAATGTCAGAAACACCTATCCAGATCAACTGGGAACCAAAAGCCAAACTGAGCATACTTAATAGGAACTGTCTTTGGCTCAGTATATGCCACTAGCTTCAACATCACATTTAAACAGGAGGTAGAATATTAGATTTATAGAAGGGGCATTTTGAAATTACACTTCAAAGACCTATAGACTATGGAAGGGACAAATTTACTCAACCTTTTAGATTATTAGATTAGTATTTTTATTATGTTAATATTTTCATAGATTAATATATTTATTATATTAATTTATAGATTGTATAATCTATAATTATATAATAATCTATAATTATATATAATCTATTACATAATTATATAGATATAACCTATTATAGATTTATATAGATGATATAATTATATAGATTTATAGATTAATTTTCTAGATTCCTGTTAATAGTAATCTATATTTTATAGATTAATTTTATAGATTATTTTATAATTAATAATAATTTTATAGATTAATTATTAAAGAAAACTCATAAATGCTAGGAGTCTTACACAACTATGGCGGTATCATTGCAGCACAAAGCACACAGTTCAGAAATTAGAGTGGTGCCACTGCATGGTCACCAGTAACCAGAAAATGAAGTTGGAATGTATATAATCCACTCCAACTGCATAAGCAGTATGAGGCTAGGTAATTTCATCATGAAAATTCAGGTAGCTGCAAAATTAAATTATCATGTTTTCCTTAGGCCCTATATATTAAGTGAAAGGTAAAAGTTTAAAACATTTCAAGTCAGTTTCTTTTACTGATGTTCACTGTCCTGAGACTATAAGATATGATAATGATGTATGAATAAATTTCTGAAAACAGAGTAAGATAACTGACATTTGTACAGCACATTACCATCCAGCAAATTATTTTTTAAGTTAAATGATGTGTAATGTTTTCTTTCTTCTTCAAAATAATCCTGTGAAGTATGGATAATAAAATAATGCCCAATTAACATGTAAAGAATCTGAATTCAGAGATACTTGTTAGCTCTGTATTATCAGGTAGTCAAAGGGTTGTAAGGCATGACTGAAACCCACCTATTGCAGCTTCAAATTTAGCACATTTTCTACTATAGACAGGCTACTCAAGTCTCAAAAAAGTAGAAATAGGCTGCTGGAGCATGGTATTTTAAAAAATGTGTTAATCTATCTCCAGAGATAGAGAACCAAAGTATTCACCTTACAGAAAAAGAAATAAACTCAGAATATCTACATAAACTTGGGTTTCTTAGCTATTTTACAGCTAGTATAACCTACTATGAAAAAATCCAAATATTGTAGAGACTTAATGACTAAATGTATCCTATACATTACACATTTTTATGAAAGAATCTTATATATTTCAATTTAGAATTTCTGAACCTCTCCCTACCATTCTAGAAATATAAAAATATATATGGTATAAAGACATTACCTTAAAGCCTATTTAATAAAATAACTGAAATTATACTTACAAAAACTTTATCTCCAACTACATTTTCCAGATTTAACTGCCTCGTGATTTCCTTTAGGGCGATTTTGTCATTGATCTGCAGCAGTCCTAAAATAAAGTCCATTTAAAAGTATTTAATTAAAACGAAACATGTATTTGATATAGCAGGTTGTTTTCCAGTTAAGTAAATCTTCCCAGTCAAAGCCTGTTAGTTCACATCACTTTCTTTTTAAAACTTAGCAATAAAGACATTCTGTAGAATCAAAAAATAATCCTCCTTGGGATTAGAATGATTTAAAAAAGAAGAAAAAAACCAGAGTCCTTCTGAGACTCCTTCATTATTAGTATTTTAATTTCTAAAAATACTGCATATGGTGTGCTAAGTAAAACATGGATCTAGTTTTCAAAATCTATTAAATGAATTTGAAATATACAAGTGAATTTAGTTTCATCATATAAAAACCCCACAAAGTTTATGTAATCTCCAATGGCAAAATAATGGCATACTTACCATTTAAGTGAACTTGTAATACATTTTCACTCACTTCTTCTATTTCCATGAGTTCTTTCAAAGCATGATTTATTAACTAAATATGAAAAGTTTATGAGATAATAATAGGTAAAAGATAAAAAAAAAAAGTCCATATTCTTTTTTAAACTACAAGCGGTAAGAACAGAATATAAATAAATTGACCTCTTTAACAAATAAGTTTTCAAATTCTTTACAGATAAAAGGTTTAACTAGAACATCTCATATCTGACTCTTTTTAAGAAACAAGAGCCAGGACTGATACAATATTCTCTCAATCACCTACCCAAACTTTTAATACAAATTTAGAAACAACCAAGTTTTAAAACAAATATGTCTCCATATGTCACATTAAACATGCGACATGGCCCTTATAAACTTCATGTCTCAGTTAGTACATTACACATCTCTCTGACAATTATTAAATATCATTGTAATCAGTTAAAAGCCTATTGAATTAAAGGTTTCTATGCAGCATACTTTTTTTTATAACACTGTACTGCTCTCGTACTGTGATATCATATATATCTCTTCATATTATCAATGCATTCAAATTTGTTTAAAGAATTTGAAAGTGAACAGAATTAAGAAAAGCCAAAAATCTTTTTAAAGAGTAAAGATGGACTGTTCCTTCCAATATTAAAATATAGGTACTATCTAAAATAAGTGAACTGGGAAAAGCAGTTGTATATACAAAATATTAGTAGAGATGGCATCAAAACTTAGGACAAAAAGGATTACTGAACAAAGGCACTGGGACAACTAGTAAACTGTTTTCCAAAACAAAATACTATTTGTATTTGCAATATGCTACTTATTTGTCATTGCAATACCTTATCCAAAAGGAAAAAAGCAAATATGATCCTCATTTTAAATTATATATGTTTCACAACAAAATACCAAAAATAAAAAAATTTTCCTGGTATACCTGCATGGTTTTTAAAGCATAGGGAATTCTAGGTCCTCTGAAAAGGAGACAATCTCAAGATATCACCTGTCATACTAGCAGTAATAGCCCAACTGAGAAGTGACATTTAATGAGAAGTAACATTAAAGGACTGTATAGAGGTACTTCTTCACCTCTGGATCAGGTCAGACACTATAATAAGAGTACATCCCCAGATGATATACGGTTGGTCTCTCAAAACAGTGCTTTCAGCAACTTTTTTTTTTTTTTTTTTTTTAAGCAATCCATGGTATTTTCTTTCCTCCACCTCTTGATATTTTGCTTAATATATTTTTTCCTAGGTTATGTTTTGTTTTAATTCATAAAATGTTTTATGTTTTGATGAATTATTCAAAACAATTTCAAACCCTTTGCTAAAATGAATAGGGATTTTAATAATATCTTCCATTTTATATATGTATAAGGAGAGTTGTAACAGGTTTACAGCTTTCTTTCCACTCAACTTACTTTAAACACCAACTTATGCTTTGCTTGGATCAGCCCACTAATATTTTATGGGTTGTGTGTATGGTTTGAAATGATAAATATATTAGCAAGTGATCTTCAAACAATGTTACTTCTAATCTGGGTATTGCTAAAATTTACTGTGTAGTTTAGGCAATCAACCATTTAAGTTAGCTTTTTTCTTGAATATGTCGTCATCATTTCAAATATTTAAACTACATTATACACTAAAAATATTTAGTTGGTTATTAATGTCACACTGAGCAACATAACCAAATTTGGTAATCTCCTTTCTATATTCTTTGTGCCTAAAATTTAATATTACAAACATACCAGGATAATTTTCTTAGATCTCCCCACATCCAGTAATTTTTATGCTCACCAATGATTATACTATTTCTAAATATTATAATAAACACAGGTTTCACCAATATGCAACTAGGAGAAATATCCTATTTAACCATCTAGGAAATCTGTCTACAGTAAATTCCATGTGTAAGAGCATTTCCTAAGGGTCGGTACAGTGGCTCACACCTGTAATCTGAGTGCTTTGGGAGGCAGAGGCAGGAGGACTGCCTGAGCCCAGGAGGTTGAGGCTTCAGTGAGCTATGATTGAGCCACTGGGCTCCAGCATGGGTGACAGAGTGAGAGCCTGTCTCTTAAAATCAAAAGGTATTTTCCTGGGCTCAATCTGTCACTTGAAGCTATATCAATTTTTTAAAAATAAAATGCTTGTAATATTATAAGCCACACTATTGCCTTTTTCAATTAACTGTAGAGTTAGAATTTTTGTATTTCAGACAGTTTGGCCAAGTATAGTGTTTTAAATATACTATAATCTCGGGGTTAGGATTAGAGTTTAAAACAAACATAAGACTACAGGTCTTATGTTTTAAAATTTGAATTTGTATAATTATACTAATGAGGTTAGGCACAGTGGCTCATGCCGGTAATCTCGGCATTTTGGGAGGCCAAGGTGGGTGGATCACTTGAGCCCAGCAGTTCCAGACCAACCTGGAAAACATGGTGAAACCCTGTCTCTACTAAACATAAAAAACTTATTAGCTGGGTGTGGTGGCACATGCCTGTCCCAGCTACTCAGGAGGCAGAGGTGGGAGGATCGCTTGAGCCTGGGAGGAGGAGGTTGCAGTGAGCCTAGGTCGTGCCACTGCACTCCAGCCTGGGCAACAGAGTGAGACCCTGTCAAAAAAAAAAAAAAAAAAAAAAGAGAGAAAAGAAAAAATAAAAGAAAAAGAAAAAAATTATACCATTGAGAGTTCTTGTATAAAAATAAATTGTATCTGACAATTTATTCAATCCATATTTTCTCTCAGGATACTCCCACACATACAACAAATTACAAAAGTAGCAGAAGTCAAACAATGTTCATCTCTTCAACCTGCCAACATCAGAGTACATCAGGAATACATGAAACTATATCAAAAAGGAATGCCAGGCAAGGGACTCTTCCAGATTCCACTGTAGTGAAACCCAATAAATGACTGCAAAACACCACAATAGGGCTCTGGTTTAAGAAGCAAAAAGTAGATAAACCGTCAGTGTGGCCAAGAATAACCAATCCATTTTGTTAACTGATAAATACTATGACTTAATGCTTTCGCCTTTAAATTTCAGTACATTGATTAAACCTATAGGGGTTTATCAAAAGGTGCTGTAACATGGAAGGAAGGGAACAACAAGCAGATTAAAAAGTTTAAGCGCAGATTTAAAATATTAAGCAAGATGGCTGATTAGAGACTCCTGGTGCTCGTACCCCGCACAAGAAAGGACCACAGCAATGAATGAACAGCTAAGATTTGACTGGCGTGTTGAAGGGAGAGTGCTGGAGTACAGCAGGGAAGGGGAAACACATGTGTAGTGACTGAAAATCCAGGAGGGTAGTGTGTAGGCACCTGGCCTCTGCAGCTACATCTCCTGCACCCGGATCAAATCTTCCCGTAGTCAGGAGGGACTTCCCATTTTGGGGAAAAGGTAAGCAGAAGATCCCCACCAGTCCTCACTGACACTATAAACACCTACAGTCCTTACCACAGGAGAATTCCATAGTCCTAGCAAGCCCTAAGTCGAGGTGGAGAGCTGCTGGGAATTCAAGCAGTTGCACTGCTCCAGATCATGAGAATAAAGTACGCACTCTCCATCCCTCACCCACCTGTAGGCCAACCTGCTGCAGCATGGCACCGTTGAGGCCAAAGCCACTTCTGTTGTGCGCCCTGCTCCGCGGGCCAGTAGCCACTGCACCTTTCCAGTACTAGGGGTCCATCTTCATTCCACCAAGCCCACATAGGTGGTTGAATGCCACAACTCTAGCTGCATGGAGACTGAGCCTATAATTGGTTATGACTCTGGTCCTACACAGCAGGGAAACCAACCTCTTGCTGCCACACTTCCGGCCAGAGGACCAATCTGGCAGTCTCACCCAGGACAAACTCTCGCTTGAGCTGACCAAACCAGTGTGGGGCTCTCTCTCAAGAAGGACAGGCCCCCGAGCATCCAAGCAGCTGATACACCGCTTGTGCTGGTAGAGTGGCTATGCACCCATACTCAGAACCTGAGAAACAGCCCCACAATACCCTGCGCCCCTCACTCCTGCAGACATACCTCTGGCTTGCCCAGTGGTCCTGTGCCCACAATCAGGGCCTGAAAAATAGACCAGAAGGTTACCCCTGGCAGGCATGCCTCCAGCCCAGCCGAGCAGCTGTGAGCCATGACCTGTACCTGAGAGACAGCCCTATGGGCCACCCATGGTGAATACACCTCCCAAAGGGTGGCCAAGCATCCTTGTGAACACATACTAGACCTGAGAAGTAGCTCTTCAGGCCATTCTTGAGCCTGCCAAGCAGTCTTGTACTCACCTCCCAAACCTGACAAACAGCACAGCCTCCCTATAACCCATCAGACATGCCCCAGGACCAGCCAACCAATCGTGTGCCCACCCTTCTCAGGTGCCCTAACCTGAGAAGTACACTAGCCAACTGGCCCTAACAGACACATTACCCTAGCTGGCTGAGCAGCTAGGTCTACAAATCAGCCCTGAGGGTTGCCTCTGGCAGACACTCTTGGGCCAGTCAAGCAGCCCTGCTCCTACTTCCCAGGTCTACGAAATGGTCCAGTGGGCCATCGCTGCTGAAAAGTTCCCAGGCCAGCCAAGCAGCAGTGTCACAGGCCTGAGAAACAGCCTCACGGGATGCTCCTAGTGGACATGCCCATAAGCCAGCTGAATAGCCTTGTGACTGCATCCTGAACCCCAGAAACAATCCTGTGGAACCCCTCAGCAGATATGGCCCCAAGCCATTCGAGGAACTGTATCCCTATACCTCTGTTGGGATCAAGCAGCCTTGCACCTGGATCCCAGGCATCTCCTGGGCCTGAGAAACAAACCAGTGAGTTGCTCCTGACAAACATTCACCAAGGCCGGCTGAGCAACTGCATGACTATGCTCCCGGCCACATTAATAGCCCCATCTGCCAGTGTGTCAGATCCCAAGGTGGTTGACCCACCACATGCATGCATATGCCCCTAAACTGAGAATCAGCCCAGCAAACCCACCCCTTGCAAAGCTGTACAGCTACCACCAGAAACTCTCAGCCTAGGCCACTGAGACACTTGTAAATGACACTAGTGTGGAT